CCGCTTGCTCAGCTCTTTCCAGGGGAACTACTCATTCTCTCAGAGACTGCTGGCTGTAAATGGCATGTTAATGAAATAAACCAAAAGGCAATTTAGGCTATTTAACTACACTTCAGGAAAAAAGCCCTACCTGGATAGATGACACTAAGCCATGATGTGTTTTGTATAAATGTTTCAACTCAATTTGGCGGATCCTGATGGAAGACCAGTTAGAAATATTTCGTTGCAAGTTTGAACATCGTACCAGGATATAGGGCCAGCCATTTGAACAAGGGCAGTGATTGAATTAGGACTGAGAAATGTATCCCTGGCTAGTTTCAAATTAAAAAACAGAGAGCTTTTAAAAAGGTACAAATGAAGCTAAAAGAATTTATGTTATTTTTCCGGTTTCTGTGCTATAACTCCTTTCCCGTCTCCTCATCTATCTTCTAAGCGTACTACCTTATGAATGAGTGAGCAATAAAAGAAGTATGCAGTGGCTGAGAGAGTAACTCAAGATAACAAGATAATGCAAAACGTTAAGCCAAAGCTTGAGCAGAACTGTGAGTCAAGACGCAGACCTGAATGTAAAAGTTTCTCACATCTGAGTTTTAGGGCAGGCATCGGATAGTTTGCATGAAAATCTAATTTAAAAACAGTAGCGCAAAATGTGACCTAATATATGCTAAGTTCACATCTGTCAAAATCTGGGACCTATACTTTCTAGGGGTTTTAATCCTGTCTTCAGACCACACATGCTGACACTTCACACACAGACTGAAATCAAAATAAAGCCATTTTAATGCCTTTGAAATCCCTGTCTTCATTGAAAAGGGGCAGAGGAAGAACAATGAGTAAAGCAGCGGCTACAAACGCTCCTAAGGTTGGGCAATAGCATTACTGTGCCTAGGTGACATGGGAACAGCCTCAAGACCAAAAGGTATGAGAACAATAAGCTGCTACGTGCAGTCTTTCAATGGCTTGTTTTAAGGCTGCCAAGAACAGGACGGAGCTACCTTCGCCAGTGTTAGTGCACTACTTGTGATCTGCTGCCTGCAAGATTTCAGATGGGCTCTTTCTCCTTGCCACCCCCAGTTTATTCTGAGATTTTAGAGCTGAAGTCCCAACAGACATGTCTAGGCTTCAAGCTGGACTTGGCTCCTTCAGTGCAGGCTGCCATTCTCAGCAGCAGCTGGGGACGGTGTCCGCAGGATAGGTTTTCCAAACATCCAGAACTGAAGGAGGAGGGGGTTACAGCAAAGGGTTAATTCAGATTTCCATATCACTGACCTCCCTCCAGCTTTCTAGGCTGCCCAGATCAGCTGGGGTTTCTCAGGGGAAAAATTATGTGGCCACTCCCTGAACCCAGATAATCCCTCTGGCCGGGCTTTCCGCTGCTGGTATCTGCCAGGTTAGGCAGAATGTAATCATCAAAATTATTCTGTTCTCTTTCAAGCAAAGGCCAGTGGGAAATTAACTGCTGGAATTAGGTATGTTTTCTAGCATTAACCCAATGTAGCTGCTCAGTGAGGTCAGCTATAGGGCTCAGGACAGACAGCAGGGACTAAGCTGGTCTCCAGTCTTCTTTGGCAAAGACTGGGTTGGTAAACAAACAGCAGGAGGGAGAAGATACAAGGATAAAGTTTCAAGGGATGTGAAGGTTGAAGGGAAGATGAAGCTTGTTATCTTCAAAAGGAAAGTAGTGACAACTCGGGCATCAGCGTGAGAGACCCCTACAAAGAAGAGAAGATGAGACAGGGCAGAGCAAGCCATGATGTTGAGGTGTTTGAGATGCTTTTACGGTATTAAGGAGGTAGAATAATTTTACCAAGAATTGATGGCAAAACATGGAACTAATTCCTCACCTTTACTCTCACCCTTTATGCTCTGAGATAGACCTAGTTTTCTTGCAAACTAGCTGGGGTGTTTTGTGTGCTCTATGATCCACAGGAGAGGAGGCAAAGCACTTCAAACCCTCCAGAAAATGCAAAGAACTTAAGACTATGGTATATCAAAATAATAGTTAGATTTCCAAATTGGAGTGTTAGCTTGCAACCTTTAGAACAGATGATGCCTGTATGAATAAGTGACCATTGCTGTTGATTAACGTGAAACCAACAGGACGATAAGCATTGATAGAGTTTATTGCTTGTTCACATCTTGCACCAGCTTATGTCATTTTCAGGTGCCAGAACTGAAACACAGTTTATTTTTGAACCTCTGTTTACAAAAATCAAGTCCTTAGTACCTATTGTGGAACTTTCAAAGCAGTCTGCATGTGGCATTTCATGTCAAGGTGTGATTTTCTGCCAGTTCCTAACTTCACTGCCATATGCCAAAAATTGCAACAGCAGATAAATCTGAAGTAAGGGTAACAGCACACTGGAACAGGCTGGCCAGGGAGGTTGTGGAGTCTCCTTCTCTGGAGATGTTCAAAACCCACCTGGACATGTTCTTGTGTGATCTGATCTAGGTGGTCCTGCTCCAGCAGGGGGATTGGACTGGATGGTCCTTTGACATCCCTTCCAATCCCTGACATTCTGTGATTCTGTGAAATGAAAGTGAAGAAAAGGTGTGGTTAAGGAGGGTCTCATTTTACCTTTGGTCCGTGCGCTGTGAAATTAGGCAAAGTTATTTTCCGTGCTTGACTCCAAGTGCACACAGGGAATGAGCTTTGCGGGCAGAACTCCGTTGGCACTTGTGAGCGTTTGCTACCTGGGATGACAGCATCACCGGGCAAGCAAAAGCCCACAGCGCTGGTGGGAACGTGGCTCGTGCTGGAGAGCAAACCCAGCCATGACTCTCATTCCATATGCATCAAATAACCCTGTGGCTTTTGAAGAGACTCTAGCTTGTATTAATGCATCGTTCTTTGTTCTTCCAAATACAGATTCTGGAAGAAAACATGAAGTTAGAGTGCAAGTGCCATGGGGTCTCGGGATCCTGTACCACGAAAACATGCTGGACGACCCTGCCGAAATTCCGGGAGCTGGGCTACATCCTTAAGGACAAATACAACGAAGCCGTTCAAGTCGAACCGGTGAGAGCAAGTCGTAACAAGCGTCCGACCTTCCTCAAAATAAAGAAGCCACTTTCCTATCGCAAACCCATGGATACAGATTTAGTGTACATAGAAAAATCTCCCAACTATTGTGAAGAGGACCCTGTCACCGGCAGCGTGGGAACGCAGGGAAGGATGTGCAACAAGACAGCCCAGCAGTCCAACGGCTGCGACCTGATGTGCTGCGGTCGAGGTTACAACACGCACCAGTACTCGAGAGTGTGGCAGTGCAACTGCAAATTTCATTGGTGCTGCTATGTCAAATGCAACACGTGCAGTGAAAGAACAGAAGTCTATACCTGTAAGTGAGTCCGTGGCGGGGCCGGCTGACGCGTCCCTGTTTGCACATGCACTCAACGTACCTACACAAGACTGTAGGAAAGACCTGCTCTCCCAGAAGAAACGCTGATGAGTGGAGCCCTCTCTTTTCTTCTCACGTTTCATTGCTTATGTGGATACACGCTTCAGACTCTTATGAAAGTCAGCCAAGAAACGAAAACAAACCCCACCCTGAGCCACCTGAGACACAAAACGGAGAGAAAAGGATCATCTCGGCTAATCTGTACCTCCAGAGCAAGAAGTATTGACTGCCTCGTGAAGAGACACCAGTCAGAGAAAAATCTCTGAGCGTGGCAACTAACTCTTGGTTTGGAGGAAAGATGGTCAAAAACTTCAGTGTATGAGGAACGGGGAGGGGTAGGGGAGAAATCCTCAAAAAAGGGCTTGGCACAGGGTGGGATGGACAGTGCCCCATCGCGAATCGCCCGCGTGAGCGTGTGGATGACACAGGTTCAGGCTTCTACACTTGTGAAAAGCTTCTGCTGGTCTTGCCCATCTCTCCACGTCATACCCTTTGCTACAGCGAGTAGAATTGTTGAAGTTTTCTGTAGACACTGCTTGATCTGCCTATTTTGTGTGCGTGTGTGCTGCAGATTTTAGCACAGGGATTTGGGACACTCGGGCATAATAATAGCAATATTTAACAATTTATTCAGATAAAACTAATATTAATTTATTTAATTAAAAAGAACTCTACCAACGTTTTTGGAACTATTCTGCAATTAAAGTAGATAGCTGGCTTTCTTTGTGGAATAATTTTGTAGAAAGAGCAAGGAAAAACTGGAGCTGTATATATTATTCTTAACTAGGATATTTCTATTAGTTGGACTTGCAGGATATGTTCTACAGTACTAGATGTTTAAGTACAAAAGCTGGCATCTTTATATATATGTACATACACAAACACACACTGTTGGTTTTGGGGTTGTTGTTGGTTTTGTTTTATTTTGGTTTTTTTTTGTTTTTTTTGTTTTTTTTTTCTCCTGTTTGCTGCTAGTTGTCTGGAACAAAAGTCAAGCGGTAGGGGTTACAAATCTTTACCAGTTTATTTTTTTTTTTCTTCAATTAAAGAAAGAAGCATTAATAAAATCCTGTTTGGAATATGCCTAAAAATAAGAAAATCCAGACAAACTTCCATCTTTTGGAAAAATCAACCATAGGATAAGAGAGTATATTTTGTAAGAGACTATTTTTATATAAATATTTTATTTATACTACGTCTGCTTGTTCAACCTGTACTTTTTCTCAAAACAGGCATACAATTTGTAATTCTTAGGCTATTTAACAGAGAAAGGGTAATTAGTTTGTGGACACAGCAGCAGCAAGCTGGATACATTCAGCTGCAGTCGGTGGCTGTGTCAGAAAGCAGAACGAACTTTCTCTCCGGATGTGTGTACAAACGGGCTCTTTCCCCGCAGCTCAAAACAGCTCAATTGGCAGAATATGCAAAACAAGAACAGGGTATGTAGCATCAATTTTGTCACATGGCTTGAATTCATGATTGGTATTAACTGGATGCTCATTTATCCCATTCAAGAAAAAAAAAAAAAAAAAAAATCCGAATTAGCTTCCCACATGCGTCAGTCATTAAACTGTGCCGTTATGACTAGCAAATGTGCTGTGTGTGCTGTCAGTTAAACCTCTATATTGTGTTACTGTCAAATTTGATTTTAATCAGTGGAAGACTGTAGACTATGACTGTAAAAACTAGCGTGACACACATCGTCTGATTCTCAGAGACAGGAAACAAAGCTTACTTTTTGTCCAGCTCTTTTCGGCATTTACGTTATTCTTTCCCCCGAAAAGGCCAGAGAGCTCGAAAACCCAGAAAAACATCCAGGCAAGTTGAAAGACTGCTCCCTTGTTTTTCAGAGCCCCAGCTAAGCTCTTTTGCGTTCCCTTTACGGTATTTCTTTTTTATCACTGCGAATTTCTTCAGATATTTGAATGGTAAATACTTCTCTGTTTTTAGAATCATTCTGTTTCTCCTGCTTGACTCGTTTATGACCCATAAAAAAAAAATAATCTAATTTCTATGTTGTTTTTCATTGGGTAAAAAACATGGCCCAGCGCTACCAATGATATGGGGTAATGGTTTTAAAATAGAGGGAGGTAGATTCAGGTTGGATATTAGGAAAAAATTTTTTACCATGAGAGTTGTAGAACACTGGAACAGGTTGCCCAGAGAGGTGGTGGATGCTCCATCCCTGGAGACGTTCAAGGCCAGGTTGGACGAGGCCCTGAGCAACCTGATCTAGTTGGAGATATCCCTGTTCCTTGCAGGGGGGTTGGACTAGATGACCTTTGAAGGTCCCTTCCAGCCCTAACCATTCTATGATTCTATGATTCTATGATATGGCGTGTTGCGTCTGGGAGAGACCAGATTATTCCCTGCCTCCAGACTACAGGATCTCACGCCTTTCATGAGGCTAAGAGAGGCACCAGTAAAGGAGAGAAACCACCCTCCAGTTTCTTTCCACCCTGCAGTGCCTTTCGCTGACTGCTGTCAAGAACAGCGAGCGTAACGAGGAGTAGATGATACAGATATGTCTTGTGTCCGTGGATCTTTCCGAGGCCAAACTCCCACCTAAGACTGCGAAAACAGAGAAAGTTTTCTGAGAAAATGAACCCAAGTATCACAAAAGATGTTGCAAAGCTGCTCTATAACAACCTAATCTTTTAGAGCTTGCCTGAATGTGGCATGGTATTTTTTTTTTAACTCACTTCTTGTATAGACGTTATTTACGTAGGAATACAAGCCCATGCAGCACCTGAATCCTAGCCATGATGCAGCACCTGATCCTAGCCATGTTTAATTAGGATTAAATAGACAGGCTCTTTGCAGACCTGCCACTTAACAAAAAATAGAACTTTTATGTAATTCAGACACCAGCGCGAGATATCAAAGTAAAATGATGAACATAATTTACTTTCAAATGTATGACTTGTCAATATAAAGCCATATAAAAGCCATTTTTGGGGGGTAATTGAGTCAGAACTTCAGTTCTTCTAAATTCCACATATCAAGAATTGATAAGACGTAAAATGCAATGAAGTACATGCAGCATGGATGTTAATTACACACTATATTATGGTTAAATAATTAAGATCTAACATTGAATTTTGGAATCTCTCCCTCACCCTCCCAGTTTGTATTGGTTTTTTACTTAGTAGGTACCATATCATAGTCAAAAGTGTGTTTTCTTCACTGATTAGAGGTATTTTACAAATTATTACTTTTGCAGCATGTTCTTACCATAGAGAAGTAATCTGTAAAACTCCTGCTTCCTGTGTATTTCAGTATGCAGTGATGTGCAATGGACAGCTAGCAGATTAAGCACTGAAGGACAAATATCTTTAAACAGTTTTACTCACAATAATAAAGAACTGGATGCACAACGAAGTGAATTTGGTACACATT